CAAAGCATTTTAGAACAAAACAACAGCATTTCTTTCTGATTCACACAAACAGTGGAGATTTAGCATAATGCTTTGCAACATCCCAGCATTTAAAGGCACAATAAAAGGTTTTCACAGGACTCGATGTGGTGTGTGAGAAATTAAATACACCTTTCCCCTCTTCTATATGTGGACAGGTATCAGCCTAATCAAATGTAGCTTAATAGGTAATTGTGAATAAGTGTGACCACTTTTATAAAAACAGAAGTCTTTCCAGGAGTGGACGTTCCAATGAATTCACCCCGAGCTCCGACCATGCAACACTAAGCAAGCAGTAAAGCGAAGCTGCTAAACAAGAGTGAGCCAAAATACCTCCACAATGATGTGGATGTGGTATGGGACTACTTTTATAAATAAAGGTTAAATTAAAAATGATCATGAAGGAAAGATGGCAACCACACAACCACATTTATGACATTAGTGAGTTTAATAGAAACATGTAACTAAATAATAGCTTCTCGCAATTAGCAAGTGTTGCCCTCTTTACTGAGACAAAGATATATGATGTTTCAGGAAGCCACTATATAGAAATCAAATGCCTATAGAAAGGTTAACTCCAGTATTTAGCTGTAACTTCTTCACAGTCCATGTGATCAGTACACTTAATGCTGAATGTGACCAAGTTAAAATCACAGTTGAAAAGCAATCTGCTGGAGAAAAGTGCAAACACTGAACGCCCTTTTGAGAAACACGCAAGATGTGATCACACCCCGAGGTGTTTTCACACCTGCTGCGCACAGAGTGGTTAAATTAAACTCTACATTGTTTACAGCAGATCTGGTTCATTTGGATACACGAGAACGGTTCGACCAAACACTTGTGTTGTATTACCAGCTGATTCCAGCCTAAAAATTTGTTCTCGAATCAGGTCCATGTCAGACTCAGTGCTGGCACTTGCACAACAGTTTCATGGGCTTTTTGCTTTCAATCTTGATTTCCTTAAGGTTTCAAAAAATATATGAACTGTTTTCTTAAACTATTAAAGGCAAATTTTGACATGAACAGACTGAGTGAAATCTCAGCATGCCACTGTCAATCAGACAATCAGGAGCTAAGTAAAACTGCTAATCACCTCATGAACCTTGTAATGGAGCCTAGTGATAAGGCCAAATATTACTTAATATTCTCTGCTTTTTGTTTTTCAGGCTTCTTCCCACAGTCCAAAGACATGCATGTTAATTTAATGGGTGATTCTGAATCGGCTGTGGGTGTGAACGTGAGCTTGAATGATTGTCCGTCTTCCTGTGTTAGCCCTCCGATAGACTGTAGCCCACCTCTCACCCTTTGACAGCTGTGACAGCCTCTGGTCCCCCAGCGACCCTGAATTGGATAAGCAGTTAAGAATGGATGGATTACATAGCACCAACTACCCTCAACAATCTTTTCAGGGAAGAATACACCGTAAGCTCAATACCTTGCAAAAATATGACAACGAAGAAGAAGAAAACCTGTCAAGGATATAACAATCTAATAACTCATTTCTTTGTGAAAACTCCACTGGAAACCTTTTAAGTTCTAGGGAGAACCTTAGACTCAGATACCAAATGACAATACCAAATAAAAAAAGGTAACAAACAGCTTCATGTCTGATTTTTATGAAGTAAGACAGGACTATGTGTCATCCACATAGCCCTGAGAATGTTGTTGGATTGGATGGTTGTGGAGATGAAGGTTGGTTCAAATATTTCATCTCTGCTATTGAAATCATTTTTTAATTATTATGTCATCAAAACAAAACGTATCAGACACCTTTTTAAAGCATCACTCAGTACAGCTACTCTGTTCGAGTCACCACTCTGTCACTTACTAGTGTGTTGAATAACACAAGCTTTCTGAGCATGTGAACTGCAGAATCTGTTCAAATGCATTTAATATTGGACTGCTAATTATAGCACTGCTTTATGAATCACTGCTGCTTATATCTGTCAGGGAGTGATTGGACTAAACTATAAATTATTAAAAGCAGCAAAGCTTTCATGAACAACAGCAGCCTAAGTTGTTGCTTATAAACAATATGCATGTATTGATTCATAGTTTTGAAAGGGAACGTGTGTTGTTGAGCTACAGCAACTGGGTGGAACCAGATTACATTTTTTAATGGTGCTTTAGTGGGTAAAAACGTATAACCAACAGGTCACTCATGGGAGGAACCAAATGTTAACTTCACTCAGCATTTTAAATCATATGTCTAACTAATGCCCAACAGATGCTGCCACACCATTTGTATCATCAGCCTTGTCACATATTTATTTCCAGGCTAATGTATGATAAATAAAAAGGGCATCAATTTTATAACCCTGCACTTACAAAAACTGCCAGTCAAAAACATCCTTTACAGACGTGTTGTGCAAAAGAAATTAAGTTGAAGAGTTTGGATGTCAAGGCTGGTGTCTTTCCCTACGAGGTTCGCTTTCACTTTAATGAGACATGATGTAGATGAAAATGACTAAATCCATCAATTTCTCAGACACTTTTGATGCTCACTTGGCTGTGCCAGCCTGTTTTCTTGTCATGCACAACCACTAATGTGCTGCAGAGTAAATAAATGAAGTTGTCAGTACAAATGAGCATCTGTTTTTACTTGTTACTTGGTTAAGTTTATTTGTGCCAAAAATCGAGATTTCTTTTGCTAGAGAGACCTGAACAAATTACATCAACGCAGACTCAAGAAAATTCATTTACTTAAAACTGTTATTTCCGCTCCACACAAAACCCACCTTAACTTAAATAGGGAGAAATATTTTCAGCTTTCACAATATTTAGGTGTATAGCAGAAACCAGTATTCCCCAGTTATCAGTCTTGATGAGAGTCCAAACTCTCCCTTTATTGGATAATTGCCTCTGACCTCAACTAAGAAAGTTGAATATCTGAACTGATTAGTGAGCATCTGTGTTCTAATAAATAAAAACACAGATATACTGCTGCCAATTAAGACCATTCGTCTTTTTCATTTAACAGGTCGGGGTGATAGTAATTAATCAAAATGCACCATATTGGACAGTATTCAGTCATTTAAAGGCAGTGCAAGCATAAAGATTAATTTCTTTATCTTTCTGTCTCTAAAATAAGCAAGCATAATAATTTTTTCACAGTTTACTATTTTTGTAATGTTGTCCAATATAGATAGGATTGTGAACATTGTGGCGCTTAGTCTTTAAAAGGGTTCATTAAAAATGTGCAAAATGAAAAAAAAAAAAGCCCAAATATTATGGACTCAACTGGAGGTGTGCTGCCCTGAAAAGCAGCTTTCATTTGGGGGAGTACAGTTTTGTGGTGGAGTCAACACATATACAAAGATATCATCAGCATAAAAATCAGGATTATAAAAATGAATATTACCTATGTACAGACTATCAGTGGGTTAATAATGGTTATGAGGAATTTATGATTGGAACCAGCTGTAGGCAGAAAATCATAACCCACAGAAAGCAGCTTATTTCACTTAAACTGTATGTGGGAAATACAGACAACTGCTGCACTGGGGCTTTTTTTTTGTAGGTCAATTGGCCTGTCAGGGCTGCAAAGTGGAGTTGTTTTCAAGCAATAGAGATCACAGCAGAAAGCAGTATTTGGTGAATATTACTGCTGCATGTCAGCACCACCTACACTGCTGTGGAAGCAGGTGAGACAGGTTTCCCCCATTTATGACAGCTTATTGTTTACAGACAACAACTAGCAGTTTCGATAGGTAGCCTGATGAGCATCACCAAGTCAGAATACACTGTGCTTTCTCTCAGCACCTACGTGGCCATTAAGCAGCAATGTTATCATTTTGCTTCCTGGATTGGCAGCTGCTGTACCGTGACAGGTCCTTCTGTCTCAGGGGCACAGTGTGTGCTACAGGTGTCAAATGACACAGCTGTACACAACACAGCCACACTCTGGCATTTGATGGGTCAGGGGAGGGAAAACCACAGTCAGGTATAGTTATAGAGGCATAGAAAATAAACTATATGTTTTTCTCTCAAAAAGGCTTTGAGCATAGAAATCAGGTCAAATTTGTTTTTCCAAAGCAGGAGACAAGTGTGCCGACTTCGGTGATGCTTTAAATACATTTTGTGTAAAGTCTCTCCAGTTAAACCACCAGCAAGGTGGAAACATACAAAAGTACAGAAAATTATGTGTGTTTTTGAACTGGGTGTGTCAGTTATGCTGGCATTTTGGAAATGAATAAGAAGTCAGTGCTAATTAGGGCTAATTAGCTAACATTTGCTAGCTATCTAATGTTGACCTGGATATATTTCCAGTTCCAGGCACAGTAAGAATACTAGGTCTAAGCAGTGATATTTTGGTTATCTTAACACAATATGTTATTATATAAACCTAATCTAAAATAAACCCGATGACAGATCAGTGGTGTGGAGATCTGGTGACAGCACCTGTGTGACAGGCTTAGGGGGAGTGTTTTATATGCAGTACTGTACTTTAGGTAGCTGGTTGTTTTGTTAGTCACCATCTGCGGCTCCGGGTGAATTCATCTGACAAATCTGACACACCACTTGTTTTATCTCTGCTGCAGTTAGGTTGGTTGGTTGGTTGGTTTCTTTGTATTGTCTAGAATTGTGACTGTCAGGCCTGCATCATGCATCCAGCAAACTGAGAAAATGTCACAGATTTTGACTGCTAACTGATATGTTAGATTTTAATGTAGACATCAACCAAAACACTGCCAGAGGCAAAACTTGTGCTTGCAACCAACAACTGCAACCATACAGTGAGAGAGCACGACCCAATTTTGGGAGGCTTACTCACGTGCATGTGAGATGTCAGAGTGTCTTACCCTATAAGTGGCGTTGCAGTGCACTTGCTCACTGACGTACACTTGGTTAGATTACTTGAGCGTCATTCGAGAGGTTGTGTTGTCAACAGATCGGCCAATAATCAGGTTGAGTGGCCTTTATTATGAGAAAACTGAGTGTCAGTGTTGAGAAAAGCCTAAAATAGACAAAGAATAACCTACCTTTTGCTTGTGAGCGGCCAGGTAACCATGCATTTTCTCGGGCTGAAGGAAAGATGGGCCACTATGCACAGCAAAGCGAACATCCAGCATTCGCTCCTTCACGTCCATGAGGCTAAAGATGTTGACATCATCAGGTGGGACCGAGAGCATCTCAGACAGGAAGTCCACCAGCAGCTCGTAGCGGCTCCGCTGCTTCCCCCTCAGTTCAATGAACTCCTTCGCTGTGATGTCTGAGCAATACATACATACACACACACACAGAGAATTGGAACTGTAAGTGGCCTCATTATTTCCGCCCCTGCTCAAGGATAAATCCAATTATTTTCAAACTGCTAAAGTAAAAAATAGTCCACAACACTCCAGACTAGAGCTATGATGATAAATTATTTCAAAAGGCTTACTGTATCTGATAAAATCACTTGTTTGTAAGTTATTTTGCGTCTGTTTTCCTGTGTGTTTGTTTCAGTGCGCCTACAGTATGTTTGTTGGTGAAGAAAGTGCTCAGGAGTTTGATTTCAGTTCCTCTCAATAAACGTATTTGCTGATTTTGTATTCGGTTCTAATCATAAAATGCTGTGAACCTTTGAGGGAAAAATGTTACTCTTCTTTTGCTTCTCAGTGCCAGTCTGATTCCAGTTGTTCAAAATGTAAAAATTACCCCAAAGACTCGTACAAATGTTCAAAGACTGGACAGGCGATCCTAGCTGACAGACATTTAGTCTGTCAGGTAGGAGCATTAACCTGGCCAACACAGTGAATATCTGGGCAGCAGTAACCAAATCTCTGGCAGTAGATGGCCCTGCAACTCCCATGAGACACCACTTATCATCAGATTTTGGATCAAAACAATCATGAATAATAACCAGAAGCTGGCACTGTGTATATGCAAATAATTGAAGGAGTGGCACGGACAATTTTGCCTTTATAGAGATTAAATGAGCACCACATTTAAAGCTTCCCATACAGCACCATAATTGGGAAAGTTGAAGTTAAAATTATTTTCTTTTTAATGTTAACACCCAGGTGTTGTTGTACGCACCTGCAAAAAGCAGTCAGCATTAGTCAGTGAGAAGTCAGCAGAGTACCAATGTTATCCAACAGTACAGAATAAAATTATATCTGCAGAATTTTCAGGAATTCACTGCGACTAATTGATAATGGATGGAAAGAACAACAAATGCAGTAGAAAGTCAAGAAATAATTCGACACACAGACTAAAAAAAGCCCAGATTGGTATCAGTTTAGCTTGTTCCAACCAGCCTTAACAGCCAAATCATATCCACAGCCAAACAAACCAGCAGACGAACAAAGGCAACTTTATGGATTAGTTCTTATATAGCGCTTTTCTACTCTGTTTGAGCCTCACTCACCTATTCATACAAGCACTTCTACACTTCAGTGCACTCTATCAAACATTCACATATATTATTCACAATCCAGTGAACCTTCAACATTCAAAATGAGACCAAGAAAGTAACAGCTAAAATATGACTTACAAAATATACTTTGGCAGCCAGTGTGCAGCCAATTAAAGTCTGTGTGTAGAAAAACACTGGATATTGATAACAGACAATACACAAATTAATACAGAGCTAGAATATGCAAAATATACTTTTTGAAGATTATGGACAGATCCTATGTGTCAGGACTGAAATCAACAAAATGAAATCTTGTGTTAAATAATTTGAATTTTTGCTCCACTGAGCTAAACTCTAACTCAGATCCATGTTCATACCAATGTTCTATTCAAAATATGGACAGTTTTTATGCATCTAGACACTTGTGATGTTTTATAAAGTAATGACCTCATCCTGTACGTAGAGAAAGAGCAGATCAACAATGAACAATGATGGGAATGATGAGGTTCATGGAGCCCACAGGTTTAAAGGATGCTGCAAATGCCTGAGAAACACAGCTTAGACAGCTTGGATGAAATAAAGGAGCAAAAGAGTCAGAGAGATAGCTCCGTGTGGCACTCCTGCTGGGTAGATAACAACTTTCTGTTCTCTTTTTGAACTTTTTTTTTTCCATTCATCAAGTGAAATCAGACCGTCCAATCAATCACGTCTCTTTTTCACACACACAGCATAAGTGCAACAGAGTGTAATGTCCATATTTAGCTATGTAGTCACATGACATGAGAGAAATGAAACCTAAACAAACAAATTATGGCATTCAACAATCCTAACAACACTCATTATTACAGAGACAGGTAACAATATGTGTCACTCACAGCAGAGACGAGCACAAAGTAGTGGTAGCGCCAAAAACAGAAGAGGAAAAAAATATTCTCAAATGAGGAAACAAGAGACAACTGGGACCCATTTTATTGAGAATATATCCAGTTTTAGTTGTTATCTCGTAGTATGCTGTCCATGTAGCAAACCTTCTTAACCTTCTCCCTCCATCGATCCACTGTGGGAGGCTGCGGCCGCATCCATGAGGTTGTGATCATCTTCTTATCAACTAATAAAAAAGACTCTCAGTAGGAATATCCTATTGTCGCCTTTTAATCCTTCTGGCAGTTGGCCCATTATATACAGAGTAAGATGGTTTAAGGACACTTCTCTTTATGAATTCATTTTGTATATGTTGGCAGTAGTCTGATAGTTTGTGTGTGTTCTCTTACCAAGCCACAGTCCCTCCACCACTGACCTGAGATGTTCACAAATTTTGATGTGACAAGGGCTTGGAGCGGGTGGGGGGTGTTAATGGTAACAAATTGCTTCATATTTTAATGGCACGGCATGCAGCTTGTCCCATTTTTTGCCTTTCTCTAAAGCTGAAAAATAATGTGGTGGACGATCATATTTATTATATTTGTGCTGAAGCTGCTCAAAGAACACCAGGTCTTCTGCTTCAAACATCTGGTCCAAGAGTATCGAGCTGTTTCATTCCCACTTTCTAAACCCTGCTTCTAGTCGGGAGGGAATAAAGTGAGAGTTATGTGCAATCCTCACCTGCTGGAAGCTGAAGTTGAGAATCTTAGTTTTTTCTCACAGTGGGGATTTTTTTTTACCTTGTCATGAATTATTTCCTCTCCTGATATCTTCACTCTTGAATGGCATTATATCTAAAATATGTGGAGCCCTCACTCTTTTCCATCCTGACCCAGTTGGTTTCGTTATCTTGAGATATTCATGTAAGCACTGACTTGAGCTGGGCTGCCCAATTTTTTTTCTCAGGTATTCAAATTCAATTCCAGTTTGTTTGTTTTTTTCTAAATGACTTTAGATAGTCATTTATTTATTATTTTAAATGTAGGTCAGATAAAGACCGAAACAAAACGAGTAATCTAGGTAATCCATTCATGTGTGTTGTTTCTACTTGTCCCACATGTTTTTAGGCTGGCTTTTATTTCACCCATCAGCTTTCGATAGTTAGCTTTGAAACATGTCAGAGGTTATGACGATCCCTATCTGAACTCACGATGACACCGGAAATCTAGATGTAGGCCAGTGTCCCACCAACATCAGTGTCTGAGATTTCGATTGACTGATCCGATAACCTTTCTAAGTTAGGGAATAGGGATAGAAGAAACGAGGTCATATCATCATTTACAGCTTTAATGTTGTAATTCTGCCATATTTAATTTAGGTTTAATATTTAAAGCAGAGAACTGGAGTCGACCACCTTGGCTGACCCCTCTCTGAACAACAACCCTTCCATTTGACATGTGAGTCTGACGTTATACGTATAACCATTATCCAGTCCACATTCCCATAACAGTCAAGGTTTTGTACAAAAACTCTTGATATGTCAACCACCGTGTTCTCCAAGCTTAGTCGAGTATCTTTTCTTCAGCTCTGTAGTCAGAAATATCTCACTGTAATGGATCTTGGAGGGGCAAAGTGCTTCAGCTTCGTGGTTTGGGATGTGAGACCTGTTTTGACACAGGTCTACATCCTCCATTAGTTCGAGTGATGTGAGCAGGAGGTTTGTTAAGAGATCACTCATTTCATTCTCATATTCCCCGTCTTCTTTCACAGAGTGTGTAGGTTGTCCCATCTTGATCTTGACTCCAGGTCATCATACTTGACCCATAACTTCTCTTATCTGTGTCCTAAATAACAAACAGCTCTTACATGTTGGAGTATTTTGTCCTCTACTTCACTCAGTCTCTGTTCAATATTCACAACTTCTTGTTCTAGTTTTGTTGTACACTCCAGTACACTCCACATCGCATAGAGTGGCTTCCACCCTCAATAAAGTGGCCTCTGTGTCTAGGGAGGCCTGAGTGTGCTCTTTCATGAGTTGTGCAACTCAGTTAGCACAGCAGCCATGTTTTCTTCAATCCATGTCTCACCGGTGTCCATTTGGTCTTGTTTATCATCTTTTTCTTGTGGCTTTGCTTTCTTTTCTGCCTGTTTGGTTTGAGCAGACATGGTAGGTTTTCTCAAAGGCAGTTTGCATTAATTGTTTGGCTGTTTGTTTCTCTTCCACAGCAGGAGAATCAGGCTGCTTCTCCTAGCATGACATCCCAGAAGTCCTTTTGTTAACAATTTTCTAATCTAGCAGATTCAGATTATAACTAATAATAGTCACAATAGTAATAGTCACCAAAATGTGATGGGTTTGGGCTGTTTGGTTACACAAAACTCAAGGCTTTGGTTAGTTTAGATTACTTTGAAATATTACCACATGTAATGACTTTTAAATGTAAAGGCTGTTTCATATATGTAATCTCAGTCAGTCTCAATGTGTTTAACCTTTACTAATGGAATTTCAGCTTAAGATCTCAGAGAACTGCAAAAATATATTTCAGACTTTGGTTAACTCTTAGATCAAGTGGGTATCTTCCAGGGAATTTTGAGCTTAAGAAGGCAAATGCTTAAAAGGAAGGAATATCTTTGAGGCCAGAGTCTAAGCAGGTAGTGCTGTTAACAAAAACATTTCAATTGTGCAAGTTAACATGTAGATGGGAGCCAATACACAAAGGACCAGGACTAACAAACTGCTCTACGTAAGAAAACCCAAACTAATTTCATTGTTATCAGCACTACGAGACTCAAAGTTCATCTCACAGAGAACGAAGTAAAAGAATGCACACACACACATATATATATATATATAAAAAGGGGTGGGCAGGGTGATTAGGTTTGTGAGCGTAGAGAAGGAGACAGAGCCTAGGCATTAAGAGACAAGACAGGGGGCTCAGAATGGGCTCAGCGGATACAACGTGAGGGATCGAGGCTAATGTCAGCTCCCATCAGTCAGTCCAGAGGGAGAA